GTCCCGGTCATTTCCACCTTCTGCAGGGGCTTTTAACAGTAGCCATGCTTTCTTTCTAAGACCCATGTTGGAGTTTCTTGCTGAGCATCAGTCACCTTTTATGGTAGACATATACCCTTACTATGCCTACAGAGATTCCTCCAGCAATGTGTCCCTGGACTATGCTCTATTCGAGTCATCTTCTGAAATTATTGATCCGAACACGGGTTTGCTATATACAAATATGTTTGATGCCCAGATTGATGCAATTTATTTTGCCTTGATGGCTTTGAATTTCCGAACAATTAAAATTATGGTAACTGAGACGGGATGGCCTTCTAAAGGATCCCCCAAGGAGACTGCTGCTACTCCAGATAATGCACAAACTTACAACACTAATCTGATCCGTCATGTCATAAATGATACTGGTACCCCTGCAAAGCCAGGGGAGGATATAGATGTTTATATATTTTCATTGTTCAATGAAAATAGGAAACCTGGTCTAGAATCTGAGAGGAACTGGGGCTTATTTTTCCCTGACCAGACAAGTGTTTATAACCTTGACTTCACAGGAAGAGGTTCTTTGGACACAACTACAGGTTCTAACATCACCAGTTCAAATGGAACGTGGTGCATTGCGTCACCTACTGCTTCTGAAGATGATTTAAGAAAAGGCATTGATTGGGCTTGCGGTTCTGGAAATGTGGACTGCTCTGCTATTCAGCCGAGTCAGCCTTGCTTTGAGCCAGATAGCCTGGCATCTCATGCATCCTATGCATTCAACAGTTATTACCAGCAGAATGGAGCTACTGATATTGCTTGCAGTTTTGGAGGAGCAGGGATCAGAACAAACAAGAATCCAAGTATGTTATCTGCTATGCACCTTTTTGTAATGCAGTATGCCTTGGCATTGTTCTCTCCTTACAACTTATATCCTATTTACCAGAAAATATAGTATTAACCCAGGTATAGACTTAGTATACACGCCTTGGGAATGCTGGACTTATAGGTGTAGATATACACGCCTTGGGAATACTGGACTTATAGGTGTAGATATAGTACAAATCATATCGTAACGTTTTCTATGCAAAATGGTTGACATGAATTTCTGTGTAAGACGTGAATACAACAACTGTATTCATAAGGAGAATTGATAATGACTGTAATCACATTTAAAGATGGTTTTACAGTAAAAGACTTGAAACTTTAGGCTATGTTTTTGTGTATTCATGAAATTGTCAAGACCGTGTACTGAGTAAAATGTGAGGGATCTTTGTCAGTCTTTTGTAGAACACATGAGACATTAACTTAAACCTTCTTGTTCTGCTTGTGCAGGCTACGACAACTGTTTATATGTGACACGTGGGTAAGTCCATTATTCAATTAACCATTTCATTTGACATTTAAATGTCCCAAATTGATCTTTACTTCGAGTTGCTTCACAAATTCCACAGGAGCAACAAAACTGCTGCAAGTAATGCGACATTGAGTCCTTCAAGAACTTCGTCCTCAGTAGGAAAAGTTTCCATATGGATTCCAAGCTGTTTGCTGATGGCTTTCCTCCCTTTTCTCTAAATCCTCATCTGTTTTCGCCCTAGACAGAATTGTCATTTGAAAGTAGATTATTTTTTGCAGATAAAGAGTAGAATCCCTCTTAACAAACAAGAAATGAACATCCAATTGGGATTATGCATTTTAAAGTTGCATGTTGAGATTGTATAGCAATTAGCCCTCTAAATTTTGAAAATCCACCCCACCCCCCTAAGCAAATGGGATATAGAAGAGATTATTCTCTTGGGGAGAGGGCGCACTTGAAAAACCGAACTGAAAGCTCAGGTTTGAGTAAATGACTGAACTTTCTGTTGTATGGTACTTGTTTGCTGTCTAGTTGAAGCCCAAATTTAAGCTAAATTTGATATTTTGAACTGCAATCTTTCTTGGGTTGTCAATTCCAATTCCATTATTCTATCTGGAATGATTTTTCATCTGAAAGTTATGCGCAGCTGTGCCTGTAATTTAGCAGTTTTGTGATTATTTATCGAAAAAATCGTTTTTGCATCATTATAAAATAAAATTTTAAGATATACCATATGATGTTTATAATTTATTAAGTACTGTGTGAATTGATAATTATTTTAGGAATCACTTTATACCAAATATGGATGTCGAAGAGTCTTTTGTAGTTGATATATTTTTGAAATAACCGAAAATTAATCTTCACGTTCAATGCCCGTTCAAAAATCATTACACAATTCATCTATTCATCAAAAATAAATTCGCGATTGCAAAAATGTGAAATTTGTATTGTGAAAGAAATTTCGAAAAACAATGATTATTTGAAAATGAATGCTTTGATTAAGTTGAATACGGTAATATATTACACCTTCGATTAGGGTTTATATAATGGAGAATAAACCCTAATTGCCGCTGACATTGAAAATCAAGATACAAACACAACAAAGATTTTGAAGGATTGCAACGAGATTTAAATCTAATACAGTATCAATTTGTATGGACCAATTTGGTGGTGTTGAGAGAATTCTAGATGATCGAGAATATGAATGAATATGGATGGTCGTAAATTAAGGGATTTTTACCTGGTTTATTTGTACAAGGGTGTGTTTGGCAGATCAAGATCAGCTCCAAATTGATTATCAATTAGGAGTGAAGTAATTTGCTCTCTTTTCCAAATTGATTATCAATTAGGAGCGAAGTAATTTGCTCTCTTTTCCAAATTGATTATCAATTAGGAGCGAAGTAATTTGCTCTCTTTTATTTTACTATCATATTTAAAGTAATATTAGGGTAAAAAATAGCACAAAGTATGTTCTGAAATTTTATCAAATATGATGTATTGGGCGTAGTACTGTCAACATTTTTTTTTCAAGAACTTATATTTGCGATCCTGCAGTCCTGAAATGTGTAAAAATGGGTTGGGCTGCTCAAAAACTAAATTGGCCCAGCCCAATTGCTCGGTTCATGAGTTGACTTAGCACAATGAGCATGCCATGCTGAGTTTAATTGTCTAGTCCGACAATCCATGAGGATTGGCTGAATTAAACTTGGCCGTAGACTTTGTCATAGAATCAACTAAAAATAAACTTCTGCTTTAGCCCATTTCAGGAAAAAAATAAAATAATAATAATAACAAAAAAAAAAAAAAATTAATAATCCGTATGTCTACTTCCCATTTTGATGAGGAAACTATATAAGCAGTTCGATGTTTCTGGGTCGATCCAGGTCTTACGGCTATGTTTGCAATTGATCTAAAGTCAGATTCTGAAAAGAATTCAGTTAGATAACTAAAGTCCGTCCACAATGAGACGGACAAATGCTCTTAGCAATAATGAGTAGCTGAAAGACTGAAAACTCTTATTTTTTCTGCAGCAAAACTCCAAGACTGCTTGAAAAAATGCTTTATAAGCTGGAAACTATGTAAGCAGTTCGATGTTTCTGGATAGATCCAGGTCTTACAGCTATGTCTGCAATTGATCTAAAGTCAGATTCCGAAAAGAATTCAGTTAGATAACTAAAGTCCGTCCACAATGAGACGGAAAAATGCTCTTAGCAATAATGAGTAGCTGAAAGACCGAAAACTCTTATTTTTTCTGCAGCAAAACTCCAAGACTGCTTGAAAAAATGCTTTATAAGCTTCGTCACACAAGGGCAACATGGTAAAACCATGAAATGCATCTTCATCTGTTATATACTATTTATAAAGTGTTATAAATGCTTTCATCCTCCATACCACAAGTATTTTGTCACTGAATATGTCACATTCCTTCGACCAAGTCCTACTTCACCTAATCTTCTCTGGGGAGTATCAGTTTTTGAACCCCTTTTGGCTTTTGTGTTTATAACTCTACAGAGAAGATAAAATCAAACTTGCGGGGAACATCACGAAGGGTAAGTTAGAACCTGGGAGCACATTAAGAGGCGCAAGAACAATTAGGTAGCCAGAGAAATCATTGCCCTTAGTTAAAGGTTAACTCTATGAACTAAACATTAGGGTACCATTAGAACGAACTGAGTTTAATCATCCAGAATCCAGTCAAGAAATTGTGCTAGACCTATTTTGCTTACAGCTATTAGAAAGGGTGTTCGATAATGAATCCTTTCTTCATAGCATAATATATTCAATGTGCATCTCCAACTCTCATCGTTTGTACTTTACTATCCAAAGGAACTTAGTACTCGAGCAATGATGAAATAGAAATAATCTGAGCTAACTGGAATTAGAGTACACCGAGAGTACTTTGAGAACTTCCCCACGGATATACGCTATAGTAAGAGATGTAACTATGACATGGCTTATCAAATTCACAGATGTCTGGCCTAACAAACATCGTGCTTTATAGTTTCAAGTACCTGAAAAAACGTAAGTTTCGAGTTTTCTATGTTCATTGAGAAGAACTTATGTGCATGAAAAAGCATTGATTAACATTTTTTTCGGCCTATACAAGTTCTAATCCCCAAAACAGAGGTGTCTTGCACGACTATGGTAACTTCCAGCCAGGCCCCTAATGAACAGAAAGTTCACAGACGTTACATGAATCATGCCCATCTCAATAGTTTTCCTTGCTCGCACAAAGTTGATCCCTGCGCTGAATTTAAAAAATCACCTAACTCTCAAGTTTATCTAATCGTATTTCATTTTTAACTTGATTCATTTTAGAATTCATTCATACCATATATATAATTTTATCTATATCTTTGCAGTTCATAATTACAGGAGGCTTCAGCAGATGTCAGAACAGAAGCCATGTGGAAATACATAGGAAAAAAAACCACTAATGCTGATCAGGAAAGCCAAATACTATACTTGCAAATACGTGTCAATCAAATCCAAATGCCCATAAAAAACTCAAAAACACATAATTTATTCACAAGAAATCTTGATAACAATTTTCGCAAGAAGAAAATTCAAAGAGAATTCTTGTTCAACTCAGGATCAGATCACACTATCTATCACTTCTCAAACACCAGACTCCATTTTTCATGACCAAGACCCCAAAGCAACATCAGATACTTGTACCAGGTGTCACTGCAAAAAACTACCAGATCATACAATTAACTCGAGGTGGTATAATGGTTAAGTCCTCTCATTTCCAGAAGAAAAAAAAATGAAAGGTGAAAGAAGAAAGTACGTACCAAAACAATTAAAGACCCTGATCAATAAGATAATCACCAATCTTTTCAACAACCATGTTGCACTGGCCTGGAGTCATAGGCTCATCATAGATACCAATGAGCAAGGCCATAGAGGTCTTTTTTATTGTAACTCCACCAGGTCCCTGCAGAGAAAAAGAAAAATAATCATAACAGGTTGTGAAGTCTTATTTTCACTACTTCAATGCAAACACAAACACACACTTCCTGTAGTTGATAGGCTTGCAGGGAAGTACGAACATGTATACAAATACGAATAGAAGAAAATGCCCTAGTTGATATACTAAGGACCTGGTCCTTATTCTCAATACTTAGCAACCAATCTCAAAATCCAATTTGGACAAAACTCATCTGGTCAATTAAACGCTAAAGCCACATTTATCCACAGCTACAAACTCTAGCAAAAACAACATACAACCTATAAATTGAAGCAAAAGCAGAGACAAAAAAAATACCTTTTTCCCTCGGATGACAACCCCTGGCTCACCTTGAATTACCATGTATTTAGTACCACCAAGGTACAAGCCAGTAGGAGCAAGTGAACCGGGATTTTCAAAGTCATTCATGATAGCAGTGATTTCCTCAGGCTTGAACTACACCAGCATTAATCAAAAAGAGAAAAATTTTAGTTCACAGATTAACATAGAGGAAATATAACCCAGCAAAATTTAGTGCATTGCAAAACATATAGGCTCGTGTTGTACTATTGATGCCATTCTACTTCTATCAACAAAATTGCTACTCTTATCAATTTCCATCCATCTTTTGTTAATATATTCTGATACGTGCGTGATATCCACAATATCATAATATTAGCTTCTGTATCCCACTTCCTTAAAACGGTTTATAAATAACAGTGATAAAAATACAAATCAACAAAGTGTTACCACAGTCAAAATAATATCATTAAAGTACAAAAAAATACACCAATAAAAGCTGGATCAACCAAGTAAAAGCTCGTTCTGAGAAATATAACAATTTGAATTTATAAAATACATACAAATAACTGAATTAATCAGTATCCGAAATCAGATAAATCTAGTTAAAATTAATCGTTAATACTCAAAACCAACACAAACAACAAAAAAATTAAACAGAAAGCTAGATCAAAAATATAAAAGCTCAATCTAGAAACTAAATCAAGGTACAAGGTAAATTTAATAAAATGCAAACAAATATCTGACGTAATTGATATCCAAAATCAGATCAGATCACGTCATCAGCATTCTTACAATCAAGAATATAATAAGTACCCAGAAGATCTGGAAATTGAATTGAAAAACAAAAATCATACGATAAATAAAAACAGCAAAAAGGAAATGAAAGACCTGAGGGAAGGTGGTGCTCTGAGCCCAGACGCTGCCGTCATGGCCAAGGATGGCGGCGGCGGCGAGGTGATTACCCTCGATCTCCGCCATCAAGTGATCATCTATGTACGATTGCCACGACATCTTTGATTTGATTCTTTAGATTCAAAATTTTGGTTCTTGTACGTAGTTGGAGGTCAGATTTGAGAGTTGGATTATTATTTTCTCAAAAGAAAAAGAGGTCTGCCGGTGCATCTCGATGTGGTTAAATGTCATTTTTGCCCCTTTGATCTTTTCTATCTACCCTATCACATTATTGAGCAAATTATTTGAATTCAAAAATGTTATTTGACTTAATTATTGAAAGATTGATGAAATGGTAAGTATTTAAATTGTTGTAAATAAAGAATCTCAATAATAAATTATTTCGTAATGCTATTTGTGTATACTCATGATTATCATAAGCATATGTGACGGTCCATGTGACTGCATAGTTCACTAAAAAATTCAATTCGCGCCTTTTAACTGCATAAACAAAGTTAAATGACCCCAATTAATTTTAATTTTTTTTAGATAACATCATGAGGAATGTTGTAAAATAAGTATTACTAATAATTCTATCGCATTTTAATTACATTAAGAGCCTGTCTGGCCCAGATTATTGCAGCCAAATAATTGATTTTCTTC